AAAAAAAAAAAAAAAAAAAAAAGCTAGTTCCTCTATCTCAGGACTTCTCAGGGAATTTAATGTGATGATATGAATTACACATCTCCAAAAAAAGGATTCTTTACCCTAAAGAACATAATAAAGTACAGAGAAAATGAGCGACTTATCTAAGGTCACACAGCTAGATAGAGGTAAACTCAAAGCCAAGGGAATCATCCTCCTGATTCCCACTTAAAAATTCATTCAGCTCCCCCAAAACTTTACAAAGTTGATTTAAAAAAAAAAAAAAACAACTTTAAAAGGCCACTTTCACAGAAATATGAACTGAGAAACATTAGTACCAGAACTGAGAAACATTGTTCTGGTACTATTTCCTATCACTGCACCAAAACAAAGTAAGTAATAAATTTTATATGACAAACCTCCTCAGAAAAAACTACGATATAGTATTTACAATGCTTATACACTTTGATGGTATTCTAAAACTTACAATTTTTAGCAAAAATATTTCCTCTAGAAAAATCCAACATACCTATGCATTAGTACCTTACAGAACTCAGAATGTTAAGGATGGCAAATGAAATCATTGGGTTCATTAAAGTAGAAATGTTTTGTTTTCTCAACACTGTATCAAAAGCTGATACACACTAGGAGATATAGTTCTTTCCCTTAAAAAACTAATAACAGGGGCTGGTGAGATGGCTCAGTGGTCTAAAGCACCTAGTTAGAACAAGCTTAGCGAAGCCCAGGGACCACAGTTCAATCCCCCAGCACCACATGCCTGCCAGCCAGCCCGCCTCCTGGTGGGCTGAGCTGGCCACACACACACACACACACACACAATAAATAAAATTTAAAAAACAAAAAAAAAAAAAAAACTAATTAACAGATCCCTGCTGTACCATTAATTGCTCTGACCTTGATGAAGTTATAGTTATCTCCAAATCAGAATTTCCCCACTTACAAGTGAAATGGGACTCAAAGGATGATGCTTCTAACTTTAAAAATTCACAAAACTTATGCAAATTAAACCTCAAATCCCTAGCCACTGAAGATATATTCCCAAATAATCAAAAATTAGAATAAAACATTTGCAAAGCACTTTATATTAATTACCTCATTTAATACACCCAATAACTCTGCAAATTAGTTAGACAGGTATCATTACTCACATTTTACAGGTATAGAAACTGAGGTCCAGAGAAGCTGACTAGACCAGAACCACAAAGTTATGAAGTAATGAAGCTCTGGCTTTAAACTTAAGAGTCTGGCATTGAATTCCCTGAAGTTTTCCATTATACCTTGTCACTTAATGGGAAATGGGATGTGGCCTGGAAGAGACAGTATTCCCTGGCTTTCAGCTACTGATTAACAAGCCTTTACATGGGACCAAAGTTCTCTCCAACTGTCTTACACACACCATCACACCCAAAAGCTCCACCTCTTCTGTAAAGAGAAAGGTCATGACCTTAAGGCAACAAATCATATTTTCTCCTTGAAGTCCAACTTTGACTATAACAGAGGATGACACTACCATAAGAGTAAAAACAATCTAAATTATGAACAAAAATCTTTACATCAAAAGTTTTAGTTCAAAAATCATGTACTCACAGTTACATACTGTTAAATAAAAAGACCATTGTATTCCTTTCCTAGAGTATCAGCTCCATTCACTCATCCATCACAGCTACATCCTCAGTCCTTCCTATTTATTGTATCTTTATTTTGAGATGCCAAATTGCCCATGATGCGTGTAAACTTGTTAGCCTCCTGCCTCAGTCTCCCAGAGTGCTGGGATTAAAACGTGCACCACCACACCCAGCTAACAGCTACACTTTTAAAGACTTTAGGGGCTGGGGAGATGGCTCAGTGAAATAAGTGCTTCCCTGGCAAGCACAAGGGCCTGAGTTCAATCCCCGGTTCCACCAAAAAAAAAAAAAGACTTTAGTAGTGGGAAAGAGACAAACTCTCCTCTTCCAGGTCTTATTACATAACATTATAGTTCAAAACATACTACTCCAAGTACCACTTCTCTAAACTCAAGCAAACTCAAACTTGGCTGTGGGCCCAAATTTGGTATTAAAATAAACAAATTGCATTTACATCACATCCTTCCCTTCCAAGAAATACAACTGAGGAACTAAAGCATCTAGATTATGGATTTAGATTTTCCCCAAGTCTCCAAGCAATCTGCTGACCCTCGTATTTCTTAACTCTATTAACATCTATCTTAAATATTTATTCTTATATCAAATATAATTAATTCTCACAGCTGTAGCTAAATCTTTCAGTAGCATGTAACTATAATAAACATATACTTATTAAACTTCTTAGGCATATAACACTATTAAGTTCTCTGCCACGAAAATTAAACACACACTGATTTTCTGGAGTTTTCATGTGGAACTAAACAGTTCAAGTATGTTTACAATGGAGCAGTACTTATTAAGAAATACCATATATCCAGGTACAATGGTGCTAAAGAGCGAATAAAAAAATCACTTTTGCAAAACAGAAATATCATAGCTGTCACATTTATACCACAAGATCATTAATTTCATTAACTATACGCTTCTTAAGTTTTGAAGAACTGAACAAAAGTTTAGCTTGTTATTTAAAAGCTTAAAACAGCAAGAGATTTAAGAGATCCCACACCTGAAAGGAAGTGACATATAACAAACCCAAAAGTACAAGCCACGGTATCCAGCAGCACTTAACATTCCTCTGCTAGTAAAAACAATGCTGCACAGCACCAGCCTCATCTCCACTTCCACCCTAATCAACGTGGGAAGACCTGTCGACTATGCTTGCCGGCCAATGAAAACCTTCTATAAACTGTCACAAAATAAAAGCCACAGCCTCTGTCATCGCTGCAGTCCAATGCAAAACATCACAGACTTTGAGTAATTCCCAGAGCAAATTATCCAGAGCCATCTATTATTTTCCAAAGTGCCCAGCCGTCCCCAGGAGTGCACAGCAGATAATTCAGTTCCCACACCACCCAGACGACTCCCCCTACTTTGTGCCAACTGTACAACTCGCATACTCCGAAAACAGGGGCTGGTCCTGAATGCCAGGGGTTACAAGAGCAACGTCTGTATTTTAGAATGGGCTGGAGCTTTAAAAATTGCCCAGGCTGAAACAAACGCTCGACCTGTAACTCCCGCGTCACTTTCCAACTGCGCTCTCGCCCAGGATCATTATATTCCAAACGGAAGCCAATTATTAGTTGTAACAAGGCCTGGACAAAATAGCGAGAGGGCTTTAAAAGTTCACCTAAAAGACACGCAAAAGGTGGGGGGCTTCGAGGGAGAGGGCCAACATTTAAGCACCTTGGGCTCAAGCAGATGTAACACTGAATATGTACAAAGACTCATTTCCCTGATGATTCCAGGCAGAAAGAGGTGCACAGACACTCAAGTCATTCCGACAGAACGGGGGCAAGATCAGCAGCCCGAACCGAGGCTCAGCTTTGTCCAGAGCCGGTCCGGAGAGCCAGGCAGGGGTCGCACTGTGGCCAGGCGGCGCGCACAGCCCCTTCTCCCGGCCCCTTTCTCCCTCTCCTTCCCCGCGACCAGGCCTCTCCCGGCTCCTCTTCCCCCTTTCCATCTCCCCTCCCTCCCCTCCCCCGCCCGACACACACAACAAGGCCACCTCCCCCCACGCGCGCGCGCGCACAGCCCCAAAGCCCACCAACTTTCCGGTCCTCGCGTCTCACCTCTCAGGAGCACACAGAAACTGCAGGCCAGCAGGCTCCTCAGGACGGCCCCCATCTTCCCTTCTCGCGTTCTCTTCTCTCACCGGCGAGGGGCGACCAGAAGAGGGGGAGGCGGAGAGCCCGGGCGGCCGCCGTAGCGGCGGGTCTGCACGCTCATGCTTCCCGGCGAGAGAAGAAAGAAAGGGGCACGTCAGGGCTCCGCGCGCGTGGCCGCCGCCGCCGCCGCCGCCCTCTCTACCGCGCCGCTGTGCCCCGGGCTCGCGCGACGCCAGCGTCTGCTCCCATCCCGCCGCCGCCTCCTCCCCCGGCGCCCCACGTCCCCCGCGCTGCTCCTCATTCAGCCTCTTCCTTACGCGCAGCGGCGCAGGGATACGGCAGGCCGGGCCTGCGCCGTCCCCGGGGTCGCCGCCGAGGTCTCCCTGCGCGCGGCCGACCCCCTCCCCCAGCGCCGCCTCGCGCGCAGGGCAGAGGAGCGGCGCGGACCCCCGCGTAGTGCTCCCCTTGCGCCCCGCGGGAGATGCGCCGCGCGAGAAAAGGCCCGCTGCAGACGCGAGGCCGTGCGGCGGCGCATTCCGATGGGATTCTTTCCCGGCCGGCCGCCGGAGCCCTCCCCGCGGAGGGCGTGAGGCGACGTCGGGAAACACTGGAGCCGGCGTGGTCGGGACTACTTTCTGCGGCTCGGCCCGGCCGCCGCCTGCCTGGCTCTTTGTGCGGCCGGCGGCGGCGCGGCCAGGTGCCGCTCTGCTTCTCCGGGCAAGGCCCCCGGGCGGGCGCCGCGGACCCGAGCCCCGGGCTGCGGGCCCACGCTCCGGAAGCCTCGGAGGATCCCGCCGCCGGGGATGGACTCCGTTTTGGGGGTCGGTGCCGGTTAATCATTTCTTCAGGAGAAATGAAAAGGTTAACACTCGCTTTCAACGTTGGAACGGTGGAGAGTGTTCCGACGCCAACTCAAGATTTTTGTTTTCGCCGGGCTTCCCAGAAGTACAGACCTCTTCCAGAGTGAAGTCTGGCGAGGACTAAAGATTTCCAATTTGGCAGATAAGAGTCCAAAATACAGGCAGCAGCGGCAAACACACAGCGAAGGGACCATTAAGCAAGACGGTTGGGGCTCTTACAAGTTGCATCTAATAATGGATGTTTGGCATGCTTTGACATTCAGCTCTATACTTCAGGGAGAAAGGTGTCCTCAGAACCTAAGACTGCACAACCTCTGCCGCTCCGGATGTTCTGGGCTTTGAGGAGTAGTGGCCCAGAAGGACGTCTGAACTCACCCAGCAGCAGCCTTCAGTGTAGGCTGAGGCAATCCAAGAGTTGATGACGGAGTCATCAGGTGCAAGCCGCCCAGTGTCACACGCCCTCACCTGCAGGCGAATGGGCACGACAGCCCGAGCCACCACCATAGCTACTTATATCTCAGGGACATTGGCGCCAGGTGCTCCCAGCGCATTATCAGATTTGACACCCCAAACTACCCTGGGGTGAGGCAGGTTTTGTTACCTGTTGTGTTCATTATACAGAGGAAGAAAATGAGAACCTGAAAGGTTCAGTAAGGTACCCAAGGCTACTCACGTTGTGCAAAGCAAGACCTGAATCAACCCAGCTAGGAAAACTGCAAGAGTGGTGAAAAATGTGTGTGGTTAAGCTTTAAAAACATGAGAAAGTGCATTTACATTTTACTGTTATGAAAAATATATGCAGTGCATCTATATAAGCATAGTATATCATATTTGAGTAAATACACTAAAAATAGGCATTAGAAATAGGCATTTCCACTCACCTATTTACTACGGATTATTTTAAACCTACTCTTACCTGAAAATCTGCAGTTTATACTTTCCAGCCCTAGCTGGAATGCTATTCTCATTGCATAGCGAATTTGCTTTTCAATCAGTCAAGTGCCTGTCAGGTTATCAGTCCCTGTGGTAAGTGTCAGGATGAGTGTGATTGGGGTCCCCAATGTCCAGAAGCTTATAGCTTAGTTTGGAAACACTAATTAAATAAAATTAACAAAAATATTACAATTGCTAAATAAAAGACTTAAGTCTGCCTAAACGTCTCAGAGAACAGAAAATAACCCCAGAGCTGAAGCTTGAAATACAAGTCAGAATTTGCCAGGCCAAAAAGACTGGCAAGGAATTCTAGGTGTAAAGATGGCAAGCATAAAGACACCGAATTATGAGCTTGGGATGTGGGGGATTTAAAAGCAGATCCCTATGACTGAATGGGGTTCTATAGAGGACATCAGGAAATGAGGCTGGATCTATGGGTTTATTGTAAAGAACTTTTAAAGCCATGCTAACAAATTTCAATTTCAGCATATTGACAATGTGGACCCTGAAATATTTTCCACGTGGTGGAGAAGTCTAAGAAAGATATCACCAGGACAACAACACTGAAAGTTGGAAAATAATAATAATAATAATAATAATAATAGATTTGAGGGAATTGAAAATCAAAACTACACTGAGAGTCCATCTCAGCACAGTGAAAAATGGCTATTAAAGGGCTGGGGAGATAGCTCAGTAGAATAAGCACTTGCCTGGCAAGTGCAAGGGACTGAGTTGAATCCCAGGTTCTGAAAAAAAAAAAAAAAAAGAATGGCTATTAAGAATAGGAGAGGGGCTGGTGGGATGGCTCAGTGGTCTAAAGCACCTACTTGGAACAAGCTTGGCAAAGCGCAGGGACCACAGTTCGATTCCCCAGCACCACATGCCAGCCAGCCCAGCCCCCTGGTGAGCTGAGCTGGCCACACACACACACACACAAATAAATAAAATTAAAAAAAAAAAAAAAAGAATAGGAGAAACAAAAAGAAAGAAAGAATAGAAGAAACAAATGCTGCTGGGTTGGGGTGGGGAATTTTCTCCACTGCTGGTGGGAACATAAGTTACTAACCCCACTGTGGAAATCAAGACAAAGCTCCTAAATAACTAAAACTAGAACCACTGTTTGATCTAGCTGTAGCACGCCTTGGTGTTTACCCAAAGTCAGCATGCCACAGGGCACCTGGATGCCCGTGCTTATTGCAGCACAGTGTACAAAGCCAAGATACAAAACCAGCCCAGGTGCCCAGCAACAGATGAATGGATAAAGAAAGTGTGTTGTATCGATGCACAATAGAATATTATTCAACCATAAAAAGAATAGTTTTGTTATGTGTAGAAAAACACAAGGATCAGGAAATCGTCATGTGAGTGAAATAAGACACTCAGAAAGACAAATATCACATGCCGTCCCTAATATGTGGAATGTAAAAAAGAAAAGAAAAAAATAGAAGGGAAAGTTATTAGACAAGAGGGAAGGAAGGAGGAGGAAGTGGTGTAAGGCTGGCAAATACAGGGCATGAATATGATTTTTTAAAAATATACGTTGAAACCCTCCCCCAAAATATGTGTAACTGAGGGGTGTGAGACGAGGATGGGGGGGGTGACTGAAGTGTGTTATGTGCATGTACAAATATACTCAAAAGAAACCTATTAAACTGGGGGCCGGGGCGATAGCTCAGTGGAATAAGTGCTTCCCTGGCCTGAGTTCAATCCCTGGTCCCGCCAAAAAAAAAAAAAAAAAAAAGAAAAGAAAGAAATCTATTAAACTGTATAACCAATACGCACTAATGAAAATGGTAGGGAAAAGATAAAAAATAATGGATGTGAGAAATAATTATGAGGGGAAATAGCTCAGAATAAGTGCTTGCCTGGCAAGCGCAGGGTCCTGAGTTCAATCCCCAGTGCCACAAAAAAAAACTTTAAAAAGAACAGGCGGATCACTACAAGTCCAATCTACGAAGTGAGACCCTGTACACCCTGTAGACTCTTCCCTAAAAAAAATACAAAAAAAAGAAAAATAATTATGAGATCAAAACAGTAGTACTTGATAACCTATCCTATGTGAGTGAAGAAGAGAGACTCTGGGATGGATTCCAAATGTTTAAATTATGTACCTAAATCTAAATGGTGGTCTCATTTCCTAAGATGCTTACACAGTATTCCAAAAGGGATGAGGGGATAAAAGTGCCTCAGTGCATCTTTTTTGTCGTTGTTAGAGATGGGGTCTTGCTAACTCACTAAATTGCCCAAGCTGGGTTCAAACTCATGATCCTCCTGCCTCATCCTCCCAAGAATGCTGGAATTATAAGCGTTCGTCACACCGCCCTCCCCCCAAGTAAAACATATCTAAGGAAGGGAAACTTTTCTAATTCAGGTGAAGTAAAATTTGGGCCTTGTGGTGGGTTGAGGGTTAAGATTCTAAGACTCCTCTAGTTGGAGGCGGCTGCAGGATAATTCAATATTAGAGCACTTGCCTAGCATACATGAGGTCCTAAGTTCAATGCTCACCACAAAAGAAGATTTTAAAAATTCTGTTTGGAGCCATGAACTTACTTAAGAGGATTAAACATAACTAGAAAGAGATACAGGGCAGAACCATGTGTTGTACAATACTTACAAGGGAACAAAAAAATCAACCAGGGAGGGGCTGGTGAGATGGCTCAGTGGTCTAAAGCACCTACTTAGAACAAGCTAAGCTAAGCAAAGCACAGGG